CAGAGGTGAAAAAAAAAAGGGTCCAGTATGTACAGAGCTTAATGTGATTAGATTGCAAGTTGTAGTCCAACTTGAGATGAACAAATATCAATATGAATGATGATGGTACAAAAGTCGGAGGGTAGAAAGATCCTCCAACTAATACTTTAATTAGTAACCTTCATAATCATAGATTAACCGCATGCTCTCACTTTAAAATAATATTATTTCTGGGCCTTAATGCCGCGAAGTTTGACCAGGCTGTAGCTCGTAGGGAGAGAGAGCCGCACATGCGGTTACTTGCTAGGTTCTCTTAAGAAATGTCCAAAGTCGTCCTGCGTCTGAACTGAGCTCCTCTTTAAACTTCAAAGAAAAGCACTGTGAATTTTCAAATCCCGTTTTCTAAGTTTTTTTTTTGAATTAATTTTGGTTTAATGCGTATCATATGATTTTCTCTTTGCTTATTTCAATTGTCTAGTTTGGAGATAATTCACTAATCTAAGGGCAGTCCATCGTCTAATAAATGTAAACGTTTAAGAATATAAACGTAAACACACTTTGGGAGGCACCCAGTGGTCTGGGACCCAGGAGTCAGATGTCCTGACCAGTTGGGGTCCGCTTGGTTGCCTCTTTTAGAGGGGGAAATAGGTTGAAAGCCTGTTAAAAATGTCAGTTTTGACAGGCTTTCTTGCAAAAACGTCTCTAAGGGGCTGTTTGGTTGATGTATTTGACATTGGGGGTTGGGCAGAAAGCCTGCCAAAAGAGCACTTTTGGCAGGCTTTCTGCCCAAAATACCTCTTTTTAGAGGCGTTTTGGGCAGAAAGCCTGCCAAAAGTGCTCTTTTGATAGGCTTTCTGCCCAACCCTCAATGTCAAATACATCAACCAAACAGCCTCTAAAAGAGGTGTTTTTACAAGAAAGCCTGTCAAAACTGACACTTTTGACAGACTTTCCCCAACCCCCTAGTTCCTCATCACAAAAAGATAAAAAATAAAAATAATAAAAAAAATAATGAATAATAAATAAATAAATAAAATGGACCTGTTGTTTTCCGAGCCATTTACAACTAGGCCCAGTGGGCTGTACATCGAAAGGCCGTTATCCTCCTCCACGTTCTAACAGACCTCTGATACGCTTTGTCCGAGTGGTCTGTAAGTGTAGAAGGCCATTATTCGAAGAGAGAAAATTAGGTCCGTATAGCAGCAAACCGTTCCAAATCCTGCAGGAATAAAACTACCGAGTGCTTCCAAATTCGGTAACAGAGGAACCTGCAAGGTGTTTGAAGAAATGCCCAAGAGAGAAATTGTCCTGTAAAGGTATGCTCTTTGCATTTTTAATGCGATAATTCGAAACCTTGGCTGCTTATTTTATCCAGAATTAGGAAATAACGGTTGATTGTACTATTTCCATTCTTTCTTTCTTCTTTTTCCATGGTAAAATGCAGTTGAAGTGACGCGGCGATGCCGTTGCTTTAGGTATTTCGCAAGTAAATTTTGGTGCTTAATGTTAGTGTGTTAGCTGCGTTTGCGTTCTGTATTTGGAATCCTGGTGAGCTTGAAGTAGTATTTTGTATTGTCACTTTGTGATTTCGTAGAAGTCTTCTTTAGCTATCAGACACACAAATTTTCGATCCGGTTTCAATGCAAGATGTTTGCAAACATGGAAATTTACACCACTTGGTTTGTTTGATTCCTTGAGATTATGCAATTCGAGAACTGTGTTTGGTTGAATGACTTTTGATGTCCATGTTGGGTGGAAAATTGTGGGGTGCAAAAGATGTAGTTGCTGAATATTAGCACAGTGCCAACTGCATCTTGGATTTTTTTTTGTTAACATTTACAATTCAAGGAAAACAGGAAAATAATGACATCTGTTTGATTAGTTTCTCTCATTTAAGAAATATTAAGTTAGAAATAAATAGTAAATTTTCACTTATTATTGATGTCGCTGGAAAAGCAAATTTTCACTGATTATTGATGTCGCTGGAAAAGTAGGCTATTGAGCTACAATAAGGCTAAATATCAGAAAATGCCCATTAACTTTGTACGATTATTAGATAATCTCCCATGACTTTCAAAGTATCAGAAAACCCCACTTTAAGATTTTAATA